AGGAGGATGGAGAGTTCAAAGCCAGCCCCAGCAACTTAGTGAGGCTCTGAGCAACTCGGTGAGACTCTGTCTCTAAGTAAAATATATAAAAGGCCTGATTAAGCACCCCTGGATTAAATCCCTGGTACCAAAAAAAGAGAGAACTTGTCCCCAGTAGCTAGTGGTCGGTACAATTTCTCAGGCTACTACTTAATTTCATTGCAAAGAAGAGCAGGAGCCCTGGGTCCTTCCCTCCAGGCATGTCTCTGTTCATGCAGTCCTCAGGGCTCAGGATGCAAGGCTGTCCCAAGGTGTGACCTAAATGACTGCAACATGATACTATCTTAGTTGGTTCCAGTCTACAATACAAAATGGAAAGGAAATCCTTCTTTACTGAAAGAAAACCAGGCTTCTTTTTTTTTTTTTTAAAGAGAGAGAGAGAGAATTTTTAATATTTATTTATTTTTTTTAAGTTTTGGGCAGACACAACATCTTTGTATGTGGTGCTGAGGATCGAACCCGGGCCTTAAGCATGCCAGGTGAGCGCGCTACTGCTTGAGCCACATTGCCAGCCCCAAGGATTCTTGACAGCATACATTCTAAAGGGTCCCAGGAAAAGACCGCAACAAAGAGATAGCTTTAAAATAGAACTCATTTCATTTTTTTCCCCACAATTATATTAGAATACGTTCCCTAGAGAATATCTAGAGTCTTTAGAAAAAATAAAAAAAGAAATCACTCTTAATTCCAGAATACAATAATAACAAATATCCTAGGTAGTTTAGTAGTTTTCTTTCCAGGGTTTATGTGCATGGCATTTTTAGAAATAATTTCTTATCAAAAATTAGTACATATGCAAAAAGTAGACAGATCCCAAGTGTATACTTCAAAAAAAATTTTTAATGATGTAAACAACTTATATGCATGTCACTCAGGTCAAGATAATGGATATTACTAGCTACCTAAAATCTCAAAGGTGATTTGATGAGTGTGTCATTAACCTCATAAATTAAGCACAATACTGATTTCTAACACCAGAGATTATCTTCTCTTATTTCTGAACGTTATATAATGGGATTATGCAGTATGTGCTCTTTGGTATGAAGCTTCTTTCATTAATATAATGTTCATAAGATTCATTTACATTATGTGTATATTCCATTCCAAAAATATACCAAATGAATTTATTTCTCCATTCTGTACTTGAGGGAGATTACTTCAATTTGAATAAGTATGGATAGACTTTCATTCCTTTAAGGTCCATTCCTTTTAAGTTCTTTTTTTTTTCTTTTTTTTTTTTAGGGTGAGGTCTTTCAGATAAAATGATTTAAAAAGTTGCCATTTCCAACAAGGCCTCTCTACTTTGGCAGACCCTGAGCTACAACTTTTGCTCCCTTATCATCACTGTACGGCTGAGAGCTGTGCCTTGCTCCTTATCCTCTTAGCAGCTGTCTTTTGGATTTCCTGGCACAGTCCATATATTGGAAAATAGATGGAGGAGGGGGACACAGCAAGAGATGTGTCTGTTTCCCTTCTTTACAAAACTTACTCAGGTTAATCAAATTCTGACTGCCTTTTGCCCTGAATTACTTACATTCTGATTTGAGTAGCCAAAGAAGGAAGTTTCGTTAACAAACATTAAAATATTCCTCTTTTCATTCAGAAGCCTTTAATGATATTATTATGATGATTTTTCCATAACATAAAATATTTCTGCTCTTCTACTGAATGCCTTATATAGCAGTCATCAAGCTTTTGTATTGTTAAAAAATAACAAACAGAAGTAGAGCAAAATGAGTAGCTCTGTTTAACAAAGAAAGGGAAAAAAACAGTTTTTGACTGGCTGTGCACAGTTAGTTTTGATAGAGGTTGTGTTAATTTATTTTGATCAGAAATGATTTAATGCTTGAGCTCTGTTGCTTGGATATGGGAGAAAAACTGCTCACATTTTGGAGATATTTTCTTGATCTACTTGGGTATATTAAACAACTGGTTCTCTATTTTAAAATCTAGAAAGGAACTATATTTAAGGCTCTTCAAGGTAGATTTTAATTATATAAAATGAATTCTAATAAAATTTTAATAATTAGAAAATTTGAAATCCTGGTCCTTTCCCCCTTTTATGCAAATTTAAAGATTTTTCCAGTTCTTTTTCTCTGTATAACATAGCAAGGGCACCTCTTCACCCTGTGCCCTGATTTTTGCAAATACCTATACAGTGCGCCTTTATTGTGCAGGAGGAAGAAAGGCAAAAGGTGGTAAATTTGATAGAAGCTGTAAAGAAGTGATCTTGCTCCAACCTTTTTTGCAACCTTCATGTTAAAAAACATTTGATGGCATTAAATATTGATAATGACACAGCTTCAACAGAATATATGTGAGCTACCTAAAAATAAGGAGAGGCCAGTGTAATGAGGTCAATTATTTTACTCACCAACTTTATGCAAAGCAGTTAGTTCCTGGAAATCCTCTTCCTCTTCTCCCTCATCTTCTTCATCTTCATTAGAGGCAGCCGGGGCAGTAGCAACATAATGACCCAGCTGAGGTGGGCTCTGGAGTTGAAGTCCTGGAAACCTCACAATTTCTAATTCCTCTTCTTCACCCTCCAGCTCGTCATCATCTAAAGCTAAGACCATAGAGGAAATGCTGAATTTCACATGTGGATTGGAAAGGGAAACAACTAATCAAGTGTGGACAGAGCAGTGAGGGTTTGAACCAAGCAGCCCAGGGGAGGTCACCAACAGGCCACCACTTTGAGATGGCTTGTTCAAAAGTCTATTGTAAAGGAAGGGGAAGCTACTGGGAGTTGAAAGTGAGGGAGAGAGAACAAAAGGGGAAGAGAGAGAGAGAGAGAGAGGGACAGGGAGAGGAAGAGAGCAAGAGGGAGAGGTAGAGAGGAAGAAGGAGGTAGAGATGGAAGAGAGGGAGGGAGGAGAAAGGGAGGGAGGGAGAAGGGAGGGAGGGAGGAAGGAAGGAAGGAAGGGGGAAAGAAACACAAACAGAAAGCAGGAAGGAAAGAAGGGGTAGGGAAGAAGGAGGGAGGGAGGGAGATCTCAGATTATGAAGACACGTTGAGTTGAGGAATGTGTGGTTTTTATTGCTCTTGAAAGCAAGGTGAGGCCGAGGGTAGAGACAATTTAGAAAAGACACAAGAAAATTCTTTAGTGACTTACAGATGCAAGTTTTCCTGTCACTTCCAATTCTGTAGCCTTCAGCACAGGTGCAATCGTAGGTTCCCACAGAATTGATACATAGTTGGTCACAGACTATGCTGACATCCAGACACTCATCCACATCTAGGAGGATGTAAACAACATCTGCTTTTTGTGTTGTTTTTGTGGCCTTCGTTAGCCAATAACAGCACACTGCCATGTAGAAAGCAGGCACAGCCCCCCGATTCTTTCTCCAGTGTACCCTGCCAATTCTTTTTTTCTTTGCTTATTTCCAAGCTTACCATATAGCTTATCTATATAAGTAAGGTGTTTCTGAGACCTTGATTATGAGAGTTAGAGAAAGAACATAAAACTTAAATTCCATAGTTTTAGGCTCTGCACCATTTTGGAGGATGTTCGTTCACTCTTGAATTCAAATATCGGATAGAACACTTAAGTCCGTGCATACATCTGCACAAGGATTGTGGAGAATTTTAGAGATGAAGGAACTCTAGTCTCTGACCTCATATGACTTAGTGGTTTATGACCAATCTGAGTCCAGACTTTGGTCAATGTGTACAAGATACTAAAAATTCACCAATGAAGCTGTATTTCTAGGCTTTGCCTGAGATTACAGATAGATTTTCCATTTGGATATGTGTACGCAAGTATGTACATTCATGCCATACAATCATTTCTTGGCTCACTCTGCTGAAGAGCAGATGGTACATAAAATTCAAAATTTTTTGTTGGCTCTGTTAATTGGCTACAATGTGGTAAATGGTAATATACTCTAGTATGTGTAGTATATTTAGACTTCAGAGTTGTGTGGTTTTTGCTGTTATCTATACTGCAAGGCTGCATGGGTGGGGGGGCTTGCTATCTATATGGAAAAAAAATCTCAACAGAATTCAGGTAATTGTTTCTTTAAGAAAAGAAACATTATTTTCTCTGAGACACTGAAGCCATGTATTTGACCTGTTATTTGAGTAAAGATCAACATTCTGATCTTTGCTTTGATTTCAAGAAAAATATAGTTTGGAGTAATAGTGATTAAAAATGAAAACTTAAAGATTATACATCAAAGGTAAGTTTTTAAAGAAAATCAAGCAAGCTATGACTTATGTGACCTAATTTTAATGGAATAAAGTTAACTGATTCTACTCACTATAGTCAAACGCCCCTATATAAAAAAAAAAACAGACAAGAAAATATAAGCTAGAAATCACTTGGAAATTAAGTTAGAAAATTGTAAGATGATTTATCTTAAAACAATCTTTAGCTATATATTATATCAGATATATACAAGGGATTCTGGTACAGAATTATTATGAACTGATAATTGCTTTGCTATTGCTCTTGTCATTGGTTAAAATGACTTTCAGTCAAGTTTGCTGTGGATGATTCCTACGGCACTGGGCTGTAACCTTCCAGAATCTCTTAATTGCTTATGTGTGTATATGCATGCATATATGTATGTGTGTGAGATGGAGTGAAGGGTATCATGCACTAATGAATATGATGATAATAATAGCTACTTTTAGCTGAGTGATTTCTGTATTCCAACCATTGTACTTTCATTTATTACTTTTTAAAATTTACTTCACTAATCCTAATACTGCCTTCATTTTAAAGATGAGAAACTGAGGTTCACAGAAGTTGGAGCTGCCTAAGCCAACACCACAGTTTAATGGTAGAACCACATAGAAATCCAATCTCTTTTTAGTGTCTCAGCGCTCTACCTTAGAGTAGAGGTAGAGCCGTCCTTCACTGATGGCCTCATCACAACCATTATTGCATGTTAGATCTCAGAAATTTACCATCACATCCACAACCGTCCAGACTGATCTGAAAGCCTTCCTGACAATGGCATTCATAGCCTCCTAAATAGTTGGTGCAGAGCTGGGCACAGCAGGCCTCTCCGTTCTCACACTCATCGAGATCTGCAGGGAAAAGGACACTCCTGTTATTGCAGAGATAGGAGTTTAGCCAACCTAAGGAAGCTCTGAGAAGCCTCATTTCCAAATTAAAACAGTGTTTCTACTGTTTTCTCTTTCTCAGGTCATACAGTACAAACACTGAAGAACACAAAGATAATAAGACCTACTTCTGGCTTAGGTTTCTAGCATGCTTCTTCTATGCCTGTTATTTATTTTAAAACAATGTAAATAATCTCGAAATGCATTTATAAGAACAAGAGAAGAAATCTCTGCTATTTTTTCTAATTCAAACAGCAATTTGAATGAATAAACCTGAAGAAACAAAAAACAGCTTGAAAAAGATGAGACAAAGAATTCCATTTAGTAGCATTTGACAGCTACAGAAAGGAGACTATCTTAAACTCCATAATGTGCTTATTCTTCTAGAACTTCAGATCTCAAAGTGCTCTCCAGCAAAAGTTCCTTTCTCACACAACTGGGAAGAGAAGTGGTAATATACTCCTGAGAGAGGACAGAATGTTTATTTAACATATTGTGTTTTAAGACATAGAATAGTTTAGAACATTTGTTTGAACATTTAGGTGATGCTTGACTAGGATGAGTGAGGTCTGGGTTTTTTTTTTTTTTTTTTTGTTACAGCTGTGACATTGTTGCCTTGTCATGCCCAGCCCAATGCGCAGTTTTCTAAATGATGATCTTTAAGTCTCCTGCAGTAATATTATTCTAGAATTCTGGAAGCCTGAATGTTTCTTCCTAAAACATAATTGCCCTGGGAAAAACAGAAACATACCAGAAGATGTCAAACTGAACCCCTCAGCCAAAGAGTAATCTCTTTTGCCTTTGAAGTGCTCCTTTTTAATATAATGACCAAAGAGGAGCAACAAACACCTGCTTCTGCTTTCCTTAAGCTGGGCTCCTGGGAATTGTGTGGTCAAGGTGTTTGGCTTTAAGCCCTTGGTTCAATTCAGCTCTCTCTGTTAAGTTGGGTGGTCTGTCATTGCTGAGTTTACAAAATCCCATTGCTCCATAACTACATGAGCAGCCACAGATAAAAAAGGGTCAGTGTCTCAATTAACCTGGGAAAAGGTACCAAACAACGCAAGGAAATGAAGACAAGAGACAGAAAGGAAAGAAAATGCAATCAGTCAATCAAGGTGAGGGGTCAACATAAAATATCTAAATGAAGGTCATTTGGAGACAAAACACGCTTTCTCCTGTAAAATATGATAAGCACTTTCACTTCAGATGAGTGTTTATTGGTGCATTGTAATTGTACATAACAGTGGGATTCATTGTTACATATTTGTATGTGCACACAACAGAACAGTATAATTTACTGGATTTCATTTATTAAAACTTCTGCCTTTTAGACAAAATAGCATGAACTTGGAGGATAAAAAAAATTCCAAAAATATAATTGTTTTATTTCATCTAAAATATTACCCTTTAATTAATTAATTAATATATTTTTCAATTTCCAGATTTTTAAAGAAGACTTCTTAACTACCACCAGAGCCTCCAAACATACAGGTCTCAAATAGCAAGATGCTGAATTGCCTCTTATAATTGGAAAATAAGCCCTTTGTTCTGATTGTTATTTTATGATTCATTTTGGATTCTTCTTCCATTATCATTCCTCAGGATCTATTTCTAGATTCTTTTATATATACCATTTTCAATTCTAAATTCATCTGCAACCCCATTCTTCCTCTACCACAAACCTTTCTTAGACTGCCCTGGTATTTCAGCTTTACATCCCTTGTTTTCTAAATTTCTTGATTTCTTTTCAGATCACATTTGCTGATATCTTCACTGACTCATTTTTTCCTTTTAATTTTCCTCCCTTATGATGGTCATATTTTATCTAAATTGGACAATGTTATCAATATTGTCTCACTATGGACACATACTGCACCAGTTACCTATACATAAAAATTTAGCCCTAATTAAAAGTAGAGCACCAATTGTAGCCAGGCAAAATAATTAAACATTTCAGCTCTGACTTCTGAAAAGCATCATCTTCTTTATCTAATTTACAGTTACTTGTTAAAGCTCAGTAAGTTAGAATTAAAAACATATTTTCTAATAACTGGATAATTGTTAAATTTATTAAGTTTGTTGCTGGTTAGATGCTTGCATGTTATAAATAGTAGTCTTTCAAATTGTGTTACAACTCTATCTAGGGTGTAGCACTGATAAGTTTTCCTATTCTGGCAAGACTGGTTGACCATTTGCATATTGGCTGAATTATTTTCACATTTCTTTGTACATTCACAATTTTAAAAAAATACTTGATACTAAAGTAAGCTAAAAATTCTTTCATTTCCTTCATGCATAAATGTTTTTACAAAGCATCCATGACTTTAATCTGTTCCCAGGCAAATAAGCAAAGTATGTATATATGCACTCCAAATGAATCACTGCCTTTTACACTAAGTGAATATTTGTCTTTAGAAATAAGTATTTTTTATCATTGGAAAATGAAATAAATTTGAAATACCATAAAGAATGTAACACTGTCATGTTGACTGCTGAAATCTCATAAATATGCAATTTTCTGCATTTTGACCCTGGCAGATGCTATTTTTTTCTAACTATAAATAAGAACTTTACTGAATTGTACTTTTCAAAGAATAAAGAAAGACATCAATTATAATTTGCAAAGACAAGATTTAGTAAAATTTCAGTTTCCCTTATCTAGTACTCAAATGAGGAATACAGATGGAAGGGAGGAAGAAAGGAAGAAGGAAGGAAAGAGGAAGTAAGGAAAGAAGGAGGAAAGGAAGGAAGTCATTTAGTCATTAATTTTCCATAAATATGAACATTGCGTAGTAGAAAAAAAACAATTTTTTTTTTCATTATACAAAAAGAGACAAGGAAAACAGTTGATTTCCATAAGTTAACTACTACAGACTCAGACAGCAATGTAAAAGGCAAGGTTGGATCAAGAAATATAAATAATGTCAGTGTTTTTCTTAAATAATTTATGAAACCAGATTACTGCAAAATATCTTGAGATTCATCCTCTCCCATCAACCAACCTAGATTTTTTAAAAAAATAAAACCTGCAGTTCTTAAATCATAGAATTTTACTTGTTTATTTATACTTCAGATTGCCTCTCACCCTAGTGAATAGCATGAAGTGGACCAAAGATTTTTTTTATCATTTACATTATAATTTTAAAAAGAGCATCAAAAAAGAAGAGAAACAGATACAGTATCTTGATAAGTGATGGCAAATCACTGTTTAGGGGCTTGAAAGTGTTCTCAGAACCAAAACCCATACTAATGTGATTTGATGCTCTATCTTTACAAAAGATATTCCTTCTCTCCCCCCTGACTTCCCCTCCAAAAAAAAAAAAGGTCTTGATTAAACATTTCATTATGATGAAAGGACAGGGTGGAATATATTCTTATCATTGTCTCAAATGATATAAATTCTAATAATATGTCAGGAGAGCTTAGCCATTAAGAATAGGTTTGGATTGGGATGTTAAAAATGATTATCTTCCAAAGTTTTCTTTTGTAACATAGTAACCTGCTGTTTTAAAGTTGAATATTCATTCAAATCTTTACTAACTTGAAAACCAGTACATTTGATTTAGTTTCTGTTTGAGGCATGGGGCACATGATAGCATCTGTTGTTGGAATGTGAATCACATGAGATGGTTAGGTAGACCTTGGGATATTTTCCTGAATTAAATTATTAAGCCCATATATTTTGTTAAAATGCTTTTAATCTCCTTAATTTCAAGGCAATATCTAATTGTAATGATATCTTCTGCCAAGTGATCTTTTCTTCACATTTATTTTGTAGCCAGAGACACTATCCAATCTAGTTCTCCTTGAAGTTTGAGAGATGTGTCTCTCTTTATAGCAATGAGCATCAAGATGAAAGAATTAAATGAATCCAGGGCAACTTTTGAATGAAGATGGCATTGACCAAACATTACCTATGCACGTTTTCTCATCCGAATCAAGCTGGTGTCCATGGTTACAGGAACAAAGGGGCCCACCAATTGCATGTTCACAGTGATGGGAACAGCCACCATTGTTCTTTTCACAGCTATTGACAATTTCCAATTCAATTCCTTTCCAAAACAAGCAAAAGATGGTCATTAACATAACAAAAGAGAAACCTGAATATATGTCAACAATGAGCACACTTTCTCTGTTGAGAGGATGACAAACTTTATTGGAAATTTATCAACACTCTGTACATTTAAAAGTAAATGTCTGAGAGCTATTCAGCATTGTAAATATCTATACCATATTGAAACACTAATAAAGCTATAAACAATGTTAAGTTGACCAGATGATGCAGAAAGATGAAGATAAGCCCATCAGTGATTATTAAACACATACGTAAGGTAACTTAGGGAATTCTCAGTATCTTCAAGATACAAAAGTACACGTATTGAATCAACAACCAGAAAGCAAATAAGTTGTTTTCCAGCTGACATTTCTTTCTCAGCTAATTGTATGTTATTATCTGTCCTTTTTTAGGGTCTACAAGTACATGAAACTACTGTTAAAAATAGCCTTGGGACAAAAGTATGTAAGTAACACCAGTGAATTAGCTGATCACATGTAAGTAGTGTCAAGTGGGTCTATTAGTCAGCTTTGATGTATATGACTCATTTGTAATGTTAACATACTATTACTTTGAAAACCAAATTGCCAATCCTGATAGAGGCTCCTAATTGGGGACATACTAGTGAGCACTGGCTTCAGCGTGTGGATGTCAACTATCCTGAGCATGCAGGTATTAGAGCCTGAATTTCTAAGTGAGGAGATGAGAAATAAGAAAAGATTTTGAACCCATGTTACCAATATGGAGTTTAGATAGTCTGACTGCTGTTTTGAACCATTAGAGTCCATGTTCCTTCATCTGTGTTGTGTGGACACAGCTTTTCTACTGAGTGTCTATACTGATTCATTCCCTTCCCATCTTAACTGATGAATCCTTTGGAAGAAGATAGGGGGAAAGGAACAGGACAAGAGTATAGGATTGTGATACTTCTCAAAAGCACAAATCATCAACTGCCTAGATATTGGCTAGAATTTCAGAGATCAGCTGGGCAGACAGTAGCCCTGCACGCTCCCAAAGCATCCGGTGCACATCCCTGTCATTGTGTTCAATCCAGTGTGCCATCATCATCTTGCATTACCCAGCTCATAACAGATGTTCAAAATGGGTTTTGAATGATTGGATAAACTCAAGATGGGTTATGCTAATCAATTATTGTTGAAAGCAAGAACCCTTTGGGGTTTAGAAACAACTAAACTAGTTGTTTTGTCCGAAGAAAATCAGACAGCCAAAAGAAAGATTAAAATTGTAAAGGAAACTGATTTTTTCAAATATTTTAAAATATACATTTGGGATCTATATTTTAACTTATGGGTCTGGTAGTAAAGGTAGGTATACACATCTCTATGAAACAGAATTGGGATTTTTTTTCTTCCTTTTTACTTATGACTTCTATTGTCATTCTTACATTATTTTAAAGTATTTAAAAATCACATTTGATATCTGATAGTTCATCAAGTCTCACTCCACTCAGAATGGCAGCCATTATGAATACGAACAACAGTAAATGTTGGTGAGAATGTGGGGGAAAAGACACACTCTTATACTGCTGGTGGGACTGCAAATTGGTGCAGACAATATGGAAAGTAGTATGGGGATTCCTTGGAAAATTGGGAATGGAACCATCATTTCACCCAGCTATCCCACTCCTTGGTGTACATCCAAAGAACTTAAAAACAGCATATTACAGAGACACAGCCATATTAATGTTTATAGCAGCACAATTTACAATAGCTAAACTGTGGAACCAACCTAGATGCACTTCAATAGATGAATGGATAAAAAAAATGTGGCATATATACACAATGAAATATTACTCAGCAATAAAGGAGAACAAAAATCATAGCATTTTCAGGTAAATGGATGGAGTTAGAGAATATAAAGCTAAGTGAAGTTAGCCAGTCCCCAAAACCCAAAAGCCAAATGTTTTCTCTGATATAAGGAGGCTGATTCACAGTAGAGTAGGGAGGGGGAACATGGGAGGAATAGAGGAACTATAGATAGGGCAGAGGGGTGAGTGGGGCAGGGAGGGGGCATGGGGTTAGAAATGATGGTGGAATGTGATGGACACCATTATCCAAATACACGTATGAAGACACATGAATTGGTGTGAACATACTTTGTATACAACCAGAGATATGAAAAATTTGTGCTCTATATGTGAAATATGAATTGTAATGCATTCCATTGTCATATATAAATAAAAAGATTGAAAAAAGGAAATGTTGATTGCTAAGAACAATTAGAGCATTGCTGGTAGTAGAAGTCAGGTCTCCCAGGACAGTTTTAATAATATATAATGTTACCTTTCCCAGATTGCTTTCATGTAGTTAGAGTTTAGATAAATACTTGTTTTAAATTTTCTTTTTTGAATGATACTGTTAAAGTTAAATGATTTATTATATTTATTTGGATAGTTATACAATGCAAATTAAGACTTAAATATAACATTAAAACTTTTGTTTACAGATGAGAGATATGAGGTTCAGGAAGGATTAAGAAAACAGAGTTAATAAGAAGGAGAGTCTTCCATTTCAGAAGGGTTTTCCTATGTCATATTGAAGCCAGAATTAGACAGGCAGTCAGTGTAGATAGGTAAATCAGGTCAGATCAAGGAGGCCAATTTGAGTGAGTCTGGGAAGTTGAAGACTGTCCACTGAGAGATCTTATCAAGAACCTGCCCCTGCTCCAAACTGTTGCCAAGGTAAACTGTAGCAGGATTTCCCCTCCCTACAGGGAGCTATAAGATTGTTACTGTGTCTTTGGCTACTCCATCCTGCCCTTCCCCCTTCAGCCCACCTTTCCCACCTTTCGGCCATCCCACCCAGTATTCCTGGGCTTAGTCGCCTACACAGGAAGGAGAAAGGGGTAGGGGGCAGGAGAACAAAGCAAGCTTAGGACACACAAAAAGGGCAGAACACCTCGCTTCTTGGGATACCAAGATACCAGCTATGGCCCCCTTCTCCCTCCTGGGAGAAGTCTATGTTACCCCTTTTAAAATAAACCCTGCTTTATATGCTTACTCAGCGTGCTTCTCTATTGTTCAAACTTCAAACACATGGGGAAGCAGGACTCATCACTGGTAAAGGTTGGTATCAATATGTGTTAACAGAAAATGATTTGAGTAGCGGGGCAACCTATTTCACTGTAAGGTATTAATAGTTCTAAGGGAGGCAGTATGAAAGTAGAAAGAACACAATATTTAAAGTCAAAAGACCTGGCATTTGCAGGGTATGCAAGAAGTTTGCACACCTGTAATCCTAGCAGTCAGTCCAGTCCGTGAGGCTGAGGTAGGAGGATCTCAAGTTCAAAGCCAGCCTCAGCAAGGGTGAGGTGATAAGCAACTCAGTGAGACGGACCCTGTCTCTAAATAAAATACAAAATAGGGCTGGGGATGTGACTTAGTGGCCCAGTGCCCCTGAGTTCAATCCCTGGTACCAAAAAAAAACCAAATAAACAAACAAAAACCTGGCACTTTAAGGCCCTGCAATAATAACAAATTATTTTTAACCTCTCATTCTCAACTTTTACCAATTATTAACATAGGGATTGGGTTATGTCAATGTTTGAAAACTAGTGGCCTGCAGAGAGAAAGAATTTGACCCCTAAGATGTTTTAAAAATTGAGAAAATTTTCATAAAATGCTTACATTTTCTTTCCCTCCTTCCCTCCCTCTCTCCCTTCCTTCCTTTCTTTTTTTTTTTCAAACTAGAAATTGAACCCAGGGCACTTAACTACTGAGCTATATTCTCAGCCTTTTTTAATTTTCAATTTCACTAAGTTGCAGAGGTCAGATTTGAACTTGGGATCCTCTTCCTTAGCTTCCTGAGATGCTGGGTTTACAGGTATACACCACAGGGCCTGGTTTACCTTTTCTTAAAAAATGAAAAGTCTTCTATTTTAAAAAATAAATTAAAAAGCTAATAACCTATATTACAGTTATTCCAAAAAATAATTTTGCACTTTCATATAAACCTGAATATACTCTTACTACTTTGCAATTCTAGTCCTGGGGTATGTTTATGCAAGAAACTGTATAAAAATACTTACAGCAGTTTTCTTCATAAATTACAAAAAAAAAAAAACTGAAAAAAACCTTCAATGTCCTTGAAGGGGTGCATAATAACCTAGCTATGGTATATCCATATAATAGCCTACTACGCACCCCCAAATAGAACTCTTTGGTGAGCAGCAACTTATCTAACTATCAAAGGCCTTATGCTGGATGAAAGGTTCTATACCGTGTGACTCCATTTATCTGACATTACTGAAAAAAAACCAAAGAGCCAGTGATGGAGAACAGATCTGTGGTTGCCAAAGGTTAGGGGTAGGGAACAGAGAGCAAGCCACAAATAGCACAGGGAGTTTTCTGGGATTGATGAAAATGTACTAGAATAATTCTGATTGCAACAGTGGTTATGTAAATCTATGCCTGTGGTAAAATGGATAGAACTATATAATAAAAAAGAAAATTTTACCATCTGCTAATTTAAAAGATCCAATTGGAGAGAAGATAACCCTGTCTGGATCCCAGAGCTTTCTCTAGTGGACCTCATACTGCCTGATTTCCAGCAGTACTTGGTATCTTTGGCCAAGTTCTTCCTTCTACCTTTTCTTAGATTGCCTTTCAGGAAATCATACTTTTCCAGTTTTCATCATACTCTCCTGGACATTTCAGCCTTTCCTGACCCTCTGTCATATTCTAGTTGCTAGGTGCAGAGGACACCAGCCTCAGTTCTCTGTCCATGCCTCCAGATGCATGGAGGTGATCCCATTCTTGCTTATGGCCTACCTACTACTATCCCAGCCTTGCCTTTTATAAACATCTAGATTATTCTATCTAGTTAGAATACAGGCAGAAACTGCCCATTTCTCAGATCTATTTGATCTCTCAAACTTCACCCAGTGAAGACAGAACTCATGATTTCCAAATATACCCCATCCCATTGTCCAAAACTCTTTTTCCACAGAACTCCACATTTTGGAAGTAGTCATTCCCATTCACCTCCTTCCAGAAGCCCCAAACCCAAGGGTCCATCCATTTTTCTGCAAGCAACGTAATTTCTTTATTTTTTATGGCTAAAGTCACATGGACATTTTTTTTAAAAAAATGAATATCATAGCACCTTACTGCTTATTCAGAACTATCCCAATGCCTTCTCATCCCATTTAGAATAAAGTCTTAATTCTTGCTTACTTTTGCCCTGGCTTAATGGCCTTGTATGATGTGCCTCCTCCTACTCCCTGCCTACCATTCTGATTTCGTTGCTTATTTATCTCCTTATTCACCACTTCTAGCCCAGACTGGCTTCTGACCAATTTCCTGAACCCACTAAGCTCAGCCCTACCTTAGAGTTTTAGTTCTCACTCCTCTTGCTTCTTGGATCTTCTTTTCATTACAAACAGGCTGAATACCCCTTATCTGAAATGTGTGGGACCAAAATGTCTTCCATTTTTAACTTTTTCAACTTGTAGAATATATACTTATATATAATGAGATATCTTGCAGATGAGACACAAGTTTCAACATGAAAATCATTTGTTTCCTAGCCACTTTATATGTGTGGTCTGAAGGTAATTTTACGCAATATTTGTAGTGCACCTGCGCTTTGATTGCATCCCACCACATGGGGTCAGGTGTGGAATTTTCCACTGTGCCATCGTGTCAGGGCTCAGAAAGTTTCATATTTTGGAGCATTTGGGAATTTGAATTTTTGAATTAGAAAGAGACAACCTGTATTATCAATATGTGTTGTGACAGAACATATTTATTTGATAGCTCTTCCATTTTCTATCTCTTCTGTATGAATTTTACATTCCACAAAGGGAATGCCTGACTTGTTGATCATTGTGTCTCTAGGCTGAGAACAGTGTCTGGCACATGGTGGGTGTTCACAAAGCACTTGGTTAGTTGAGTCAGAGAATCCAGACACATTGACAGAGTGCTTGCTCCTTTTGGGAAACACTTAGTAGGAAGTAAGCAGTAAGGGTCCTCTTTAGTACCAGAATTCCCTCTCCAGTTCAACACAGTTCCCATAGCTCTTTATTTCCTCATACTCAGCCTTCTTTACACATTTCTATTTAGTCTTGTGCTGGTGCCTGAAGTAGATTCTACTTAAAGTACCGGAACCTACAATACATTTTCCAATATATATCAGAGTTTCAGGAGGGAAATCAGAAGTATCCATCTGAAGAATTGTATGTGGACTCATTTCATTCTTGTTGGTTTCCTGCGATATTGCATCAGTACAGTTCTATGTCTACTGATGGTAATTTAGTACAAATTAATGATAGTATAGTAACCTCTTTAAAAAAAAATCTGGGACTAAGCCAGGCATGGCGATGCACACCAGTAATTCCAGATAATTGGGAAGCTAAGGCAGGAGGATTGCTGCCTTGGTAACTTAGTGATATTTTGTCTCAAGATAAAAAATATAAAGATCTAGAGATGTGGCTTTGGAGTCAATCATCCCTGGGTCTAATCCTCATTGCTGAACAAAAAGTATATATGGGTATATATTTATGCACACAAACACACATACATGTGTATATATGTATACATATGATTATGCATGTGCATTTGTATATATATGCACATGAATAATCTTCTTTATACATATATGTGTATATGTGCATAGATGTATATGTATATATGTGTATATATGTATCAATATGATTAAAACAAGTTCAAACTCATATCTATAGCGGCCTACTAAAAGTAATTGACATTTTGAGTTCTTGGTCCAGATAACAAATATGGCTTAATGTCATACTGTTTTTTAAAAAATCATACTAAAAATGATCCTCACAGATTCCCATAGGTAGAAAATACATTATTTGTAATAAGTATTCATAAAACTCAATTTAAACTGTATTATGCATTTTTTTTGAAGGAAGGCTTGTCTAACCATGCTATGTCTGGAACTTTCCAATTTATAATTGGAAATCAGTGAGAGGTACTTCATAGCTCAGTGTGAGGATTCAATGGTTATACTGTAAAATGTTTTGAGACCCTCTCTCAAGAAGTTACATCAATATAAAACACTGTATTCTAGGCAAAACGTAAAGTAAGTCCCCTAAAATACACTTGTTAGAGATGATGGGCAATAATTCATTATTAAATATTACTATGCTCTGGAAAGATTTACTCTGCCTATAGGTTTTGAAACACCTCATAATACAAGTTTTCACCAAGAAAGCTTTATATGTGAGTAAATACTGAGGTCTGGTGATGACTTCAGAAAGAACTTAGCCAAATAGTCACATAAGGGAAATAAAAATTAAAATATATTTCTATTAAATATATTCAACTATAGGGCAAATTGCTTTCCCAACTAAATTCTACAGAATGTCTATTATTCATAAATCATTACCAATAATTATCCCCTCTTTCATGATAACTGAGAACACACCACTCAGACTACGAAAGTTTTATTTCATACATTCGTAAATGTATTCACCCCCTCAAACTGTGTCCATATTTAAAAAACCAAATATTAAAAATAAAGGAAAACCCATCAACATTTTTCTCTTCCTGAAAGGATTCCATAGGGCATTCAGGAAAAGACTGACTTTAGAAATTGTATCTTAATCAGTAGTCAGTTTGTCCTTGCCATCTTATTTAGTTTGTTCTTTAAAAGGCAAATATCACCTTAGCAAAAACTTCAGTCTACAAACAGTAGAAATATACCAGAAGACTTGAAGGCCACACTGGCAAACCAAGAACTACAGAATTTTATGCAGAGGAGACTAATGAATTCAGTGACCTTAATAATATCTCTTCAGGAGGGAGCTCAGTTAAAAATGCTAAAATACATATTCTATTAATCACCATATCAATGCCTCTTCTTGGTTAACAACAATAAAGAGACATGTAATATATATAAACAGATGATGAAGTTGAAAGGGTAGTATATATAGCACTGAAAGACCCTCTTTCAAACCCAAGTTCTGTCACTTGCTGATTTTGGGTTATTGGGTTTTGAGCTCTAGTGTTGAATGGATAGTTTACAAAGATGGGGAAAAACGGAGAAGAACATCTCTGGGATGTAGATTTATAAGCAGCAGTTTGGTTTTGGCTCTGTCAATTTTGGTTTTAGAAGTCATAGAAATGAAGACATTGAGTATATAGTTAATTATATTCACATGTAGTTTAAACAAGAGAGACTTTGGAAATATTTGACATTGAAATAGAACACAGATGGAGAGGAAAGTATATTACTGCAGAAAGGAAATGAGAAATTTAAGAAGACTGAAGGTAGTCCACTGTGTTGAAAGATGCTGAGAGGCAAAGTAGTATAAAACCAGAGAAACTGCCATTTAATCTGGCAACATGGAGGTCTTGCCTGACCATGGAGGGGTGGAGATGGAGTCCTGATTAGTATGGGCTGTAAGATGAGAAAAGAGAGACTCTGATCATGGTCATCAAAAATTTTGCTGTGAAAGTTCTATTGGGATGTGGGCCCATGTGAACATACTTTCAAGACAGAAAGCACTTGACCATGTTTCTATGTTAATGAGAACATCCCAGAAGGCAGAAATGACTATTCAGAAAAGAGGGAGATAATTGCAAAAGCAAAGCTATGGTGATGTTAAGAGATAATGGAATCCAAACAAGATGGCTTTTGATAGAAATAGGGCCAACTCTTTCATACTAATAGGAGTGAAGGATTCCCCATGTGATTCTAGCAGAGACTAGGAGATTGTTGGCAGGATAGATTGCCTAAATTTTTGGATGAGGTCAGAGATAAGATGGGATAAAGGCAAAAGTATGGAAAGATAGTCAAAAAAGATTTGGAAGAGCAAAGAGGGTGAAAGTGATATAATCTGGCATTATATGTGGGTCCTGCCATGCTGCTTAATCATCTTGAGTGTTACAGCATGAAATTTAAAACAAAACCAGTTAGCATGGCTATGCTTTGAACACAGCAAAACTTACCTGCTAGGGTACAGATATGAACTAGAGAAAGCAGGGAAGAGGGCATTCAGAGAAGGTAGGGTCAGAATATGGAAAATTTTATTGTCCATGGACGAAGACCACCTAAGAGGTAGAGATGAAGAAATCTGTCATAAACAAGAGAAAAACGTCTGTCATTTGAAAAAGAGGGTGGGGAAAAGTAGGGATGGATAAGGATGGGAAATACTGAGGAAAAAAACTTGAGGAATTTGTATCAGATAGTTCTAAGCTAAGTGAAATAGGAAATGTGTTCATCCGTAGATGAAAACCAGCAGGGAAACCACGGTTTCCAACAAACAGCAACCACCATGGTGAGCTCAGCCCACTAACATGGCAACATATCCCTAATAAGGGGCATATTAAATTGTGTAACTGGACCTAGATAAGGATCAAGTTAAGGTCAGAGGACATGGATCGGATTTATTTGAAGAGAAGAGGTAGAGGGAAGAGTGAGAAAGACGGGAAAGTAGGATGAGCTGCTTAAAAAGCAAGCTGAGTGGAGATGGGGGAAGGAGGAAAAAAGCCAGTGTGGAAGACATGCACCTGGGCCCCCACTGAGTCGAGCATGATATTGCAGCCTAGCATGTCTCCTGCAGGATGGTTCCTTCACTCCTTCTAGTTCCTTTGCCTTCAGTTTTACATTGAGTTTTGTAGTGATTAATAAATAATGCATGGCAGCAGTGATAAAGAAAGGCACCACTTCACAAAGAAGAGCTCTCAAGCCCAAGAGTCCCAAATCAGAAACCCTGAGGGCTTAGTTCTTGCCTGCCCACATGGCAGATCATTACACCAACCATTTTCTTCTGACTCTGAGCCCCTCTTTCTTTATCGGTAAAATGGAGGGAGATGGACTTCTTAGCCCTCACCCTGATCCTACCCCAGGGGGAAATTCTCAGGAGATTCTGCTTTGGCAAGATATGCAGTGTTGTTCTTCTGTTTACTGCATTTATTTAGTACAAGTCACACATACTTATTTCCTGAGCAGCAGTTGTGGCCACTTACTGTAACACTGATGTCCATCAGCTCCCAGCTCAAAGCCAGGGTCGCAGGCACAAGTGAAGGACCCCACTGAGTTCACACAGCGATGACCACAGTGAGAAAGCCCTTCGGTGCACTCATTTATATCTGTAGAGAGAGAGACAATAGCCATGTCTTAGCAGCTCTAATTAAGACTTCTTTGTAAACTATAAAAATAAACTAACCTTCCCCCTCCATTTATCCCCTAGCATACAATGAAGGGTCAAATACCATATGGGCTCCATATTCTTAGTATGAAGAGGGCATTTATAAAAACCAACTCTCCCTTACTTCTGCTGTTGGTCTTATGGTCATAAACACTTCTAGCTAGTAGAACCTACCATTTTCTATTAATTAAAAAAAAAAGAAAAAAATAGGTCCCTCAAAAATACAGGTAGAAGTTAGTCATTAAAATTTGCCTTTAGGAATATATATCACACTGTTAATCAAAAACAGCACTGCTCTGGTTTAAATTAGACAATATGTGTGGCCACTGGCAAGGCAGGTTTGGGGCTTTTATATGTAGCAATCCATGGTTTATGTTGTGCAAGGGAATGTTACAAGCAGGCCATGTGAACTCTGGAACCTTCGCTCTTGGTGTTGACCATTAATTCTATTCAGTGTGACTTCAGTTTTGAGGCGCCCGCAATTTCTGCTCCTTCCTCTTAAAATGTCAGGTCTCATCATAATTCTTTTTTAGTAGTATTTCCTCTTTCCACTGTCCTACATGTCTCAAACCAGGGCACAGAAGAGGAATACTCATTCTTTTAATATGTTCATAAAAATATAAATAGGCAGTAGTTTTAGGGATATATTTTATGGTTATAATGTATCAGGTCTTAAAAGGTTGAGAAAGATGGTAGAGATGTATGTATGTATGTATGTGTATAGGTATGAATCTGTCTGCCTGCCTATTCATATTCATCAATTTTCAACTATTTAATAAGACCCTATTCTGTTCCAGGTGCAGATCTGTGGAAAGAGAAGTCTAAAGCAAAATGTTTTCCTTATAATAGTAGGCTAACCGAATCCATAAAAACATTTTATCTTAGTTTTGGCTTTAAAGGAATAAAACAAACTTAACACTAATTTCTATGTCTAATTATTTTTTCAATTTCACAAAATGTTTATCAGTTCTGTAAGTCAGGAAACATTTTTATATTTTCATAATTAATCTAAATAAGCTGTTTCTCATTACACGAAAATGTCATGATAAAAATGAAGGATTCTGCGATTTCTCAGAAGTTATTAAAACAAAGACTGTCCCACAGGAATGATTTCCTTTATCAGTCCTGGTCATGGAATAATTTATCACTTTCATCTTTGAATTGAAGTATGGCTGTTTTGCTATTTCTGAGAAACAGAAATGTGTAACCTTGTATTTACAGAGTTTCTTTCTTTTTAATTTTAATTATTCCTACCTTCTGAGAACATTCATTTGCACACACTTGCTTTTCAAAGGTTATCCCCACCTTCTGCAGTCTATAATAAAAATCTCCCTGTGTGGTTATGAAAGGTTTTGAAATATTAATTCTAGAAGTCATTTCAGAATAAAAAAAAAAAACCCAGAAAACAAAAAGCATTAATTCTGAAGCTACACAAGGTCTTTTTTCTTAATTGTAACTAAGAATTTCACTTAGTTTTATAGCATTATAAAAATACCTTTCAGAGTGATCAAATAAGAATTTAAATGTTCCCTTTTACGCAGAAATGAAAACACCTTTGCTCCTAGCTGTTCTGCCTATTCAAAACTGAGCTACCACAAAATTTCAAACAATAACACAATTAAACCATCAGCTTCCGCTTCCTACCTGCACAGGCCTTTTTGTCTTCAGACAGCTGGTACCCTGGGTGGCAGGCACACCTGGCCACGCCATTCTCACTCTGACACATGTGAGCACATCCATTCCCACCTATGCAGGGGTCCATCTCTGAAAGCAATTAAGCAGTGAGAGTTTACAATTCATTCAGTTTAGAAAGATGAGCCCAGTAGAAGGGCAGACAAAGAAGAATCAAGCAGCCCTAGAGCCCCTGGATTTCCCACCGAAAGATGGAAAGGACTCTGCAAAGACATTTCCCCATTTCCTATGGAACCTGTTCAACAAAAGCATTCCCATTTTGTGATCTGAACCTCAAACTCAGACTAATCTAAATGTAGATCAAGGCCAAAGAAGAATTCATTCATTGTCACCCTTCCCCAAAGTATGCCTCCTGCTCTCTGGTATCTAATTGAAGAACCAGCAGAGACTCCTTCAGATACCTCTTGACCTTCCCTCCGGCTCTCTCCACCTTTTCTGTTTCTATGAGTAAGCAGGCTCATCCTTAAGTAAAGCCTATCTCCTCTACTAGGTCTGCTCTGCCTGTGAACAAGCAGTCATGGGGTCAGGAAAAGGCGGTCTGGAGAGATGGAGGGAGAGTCCTAGCTCTAGAAGGCATACAGGTAGCCCCGAAGAAGCTGAAATGCCTCCACTGGAATTAAATCAGCTGGCCTCCTTCTCTGCTTCACTTGCTCCTATTTTAATCATTCTTAGTCATATTATCTGGAAATTCAAAGCAATGGGAAGCCACAGGAGTCTGCACAGAGCTTATTTGTCAGTTTTTGTTTAGTGACTCTGGCCTGAATCTATGAATATAGCCTTTCCTTGTCTTACAGGCTGCTGGAATGGGACCTCAGAATGTCCACTCCTGCCCCTGCCTGCTCCATGGGAAGCCAAGGCTTTATGAAAATATAAATAACACATACAGAACAATATACATTGTGCTGCTTCTTAATTTTTAGATATAGAGATATTGAGGTGAAATGTCAATGAATTTGGGGAGTATTACCATTTGAAAAATATCTTCTGAAGTACGAGCATGTTTTTCCTTTTATTTATACCTTCAACATTAATTAATTAATTTATTATTTATTTCAACATTTCATAGTTTTCAGTATACACACTTGCACTTCTTTTGTTAAATTTGTACCTATGTGTCTTATTATTTTTTGATGCTGTTGTAAACGGAATTGTTATGCAATTTCATGTCTGGATTGTTCATTGATAGTATATTAAAATTCAATTTATTTTAATGTGTCAATCTGGTATTCTGCAGCTCTATTGAATTCCTTTATCAGTGTTAATAGGATTTCAATACTTATAAGGATTGTCTTTTTAAGAATTTTTTGTTTTTTATTTAACTATTTAATTGCACAAATTTACTGTGTACAGTGTGATTAGAACTTTCTCTAGAGAACATGATATGCTATGTGCAAAAAATATTTTGCTTTTATTCCTTCCCAAATTGGATGCCATTTATTTTGTTCTTACCTTATTGCTTTAGTGAAACCTTTAGTACGATGCTGAATAGACATACCATCTGAATGAGCTAACACCTTGTCTTATTCCTTATCTTAGAAGGAAAGCTTTTTTGCTATTTCACAATTACAAAAAAATTATGAATGATGTTATCTATTTTTTTTAATAAACTCTCTTCACTGGAATGAGGAATTTTCATTATATCACAAATTTGTTAGGTAATTTTATTATGAAACAATATTAAAAATTTTAAATTCTTTTTTTCACCCACTATTGATATGATCATGGGGTTTTTGTCCTTTACTTTTATGGTTTATCACAATAATTAATTTTTAGATATTCTATTAATCTATTTTCCTGAAATAATTCTCACTTTGGTATACTGCACAACACTTCTATATGTTGTTGGATTTGATTTCTTTGTATTTTGTTGAGGATTTACATATCTATACTCATAGGGGATATCAGTCTACAATTTCTTTCTTGCAATATCTTTGGTTTTGTTATCAAGGTGATTCTGTACTCATGGTGTGAATGTGAAGTGTTTCCTCCTCTTCTATATTTTGGAAACATTTGTGAATAATTTGTATTAGTTTTTTTTAATGTGTATTGTCTTTCGTCATTGAAATATCTTGCCCAGGACTTTTCTTATTGGAAGCTTTAAAATGAGTTATTTAATCTCTTTACTTATTATATGTCTAATCAGATTTTCTATTTCTTCAGAAGTCAATTTCACTAATTCTCAGAATTTGTCTGTTTCATTTAAATTTGTTGTTATAGAGTTGTTTGTAACATTTCTTTATTCTACTATTTATTTCTGTGGGGTCAGTAAACAGGATCCAGCTTTCATTCTTGGTTTTAGTAATTTAAGTCTTCCCTTTATTTTTCTTCATCTGTCTAGCTAGGAGTTTATCAATTTTATTGATCTTTTCAATGAAACACTTTTGTTTTTGTTTTATCTGTTGTTTTCCTATTCTCTATTTTATTAGTTTATACACTAATCTTTATCATTGTCTTTCTTTTTACTTTCTTTGGGTTTAGTTTGTTCTTGTTTCTCCATCATTTTGACTTGAGGAGTTGGTTATTGGTTTAGATTCTTTTTCTTTTTCCACTACAGGAACTGGTAGCAATAAACTTCCCTCTATCACTCCTCTTAGCTACATCCCAAAGTTTTGTTATACTGTATATTTATTTTGACTCATCTGGAAGTATTAGCTAATTTTCCTCATGATTGTTTTCCTCTGATCCATTGGTTATTTGGAAATGTGACAACTTGCCTTAATAAATTCCTTTTAAATGTAGTTTTAGGATGACAGTGAAATTGAGAGGAAGGGTTCAGAGATTTTCTATATTCCCTGCTACAGTTTGGAACTGAAGCGTCTCCCAAAGGAGCATGCATAAAGTCAATGACACTATTGGGAAGTGGTAGGACCTTTAAGAGGTGGGGCATAGCTGGAGGAAGTTAGACTACTGAAGTGTGACCTTGAAGAGGAAATATTGGGAACCTGATCCCTTCCGCTCCTTTTTGCTTCCCAGCCACCATGAGTGACTTCCTCAGCCAAATGCTCCTGCCTTAATATGCTGCCTTGCCATAGGCCCAATGCAATAGGACCAATAAGACTGGGACCTCGGAAACTATGAGCCAAAGCAAGCATTTCTTCTTTTTTTTTTTTTAGTTGATTTATCACAGATACTTATTACAGCAATTGAAAGCTAATACATACCCATGTCCCTACACCTGCATAGCCTTCCCATGATTGCCATACTCCACCAGAGTGGGACATTTTTCTAAATTGGTGAATCTGCATGAACATATCCTAGTTTAGCATTTACCTTTGGTAATACACACCCTGTGGGTGGAACAAATGTATAAAGCATATATCTACCATTATAATATCATACAGAGAATTTTCACTGCTATAAAAATTCTTTTTCTTCTGCGTATTCATCCCTCTCCTCACAGCAACTCCTAGCAACCACTGATCTTTTTATTATTACCACAATTTTGTCTTTTGAAGAATGTAATATAGCTTGAATCATATACTACGTAGCTTTTTCATAGTGGCTTTTTTCTTTGTATTAATTATTATTATCAACAAACATTAATTGTACAAATTAGTGGGATTCATTGTGATATTTACATCCACACCTTTACATCATGCTTTGATCCTGTGAATCCACCTTTTTTCTATTCTCATTCCTTATACTCTACAGGCGTTCTTCCCATTTCACAGTAACCCCTCTCTTTCTTTTAGGTAATTTTTGTTTTCAGTTTCCATTTTCACGAAAGAGCATGTCTTTTGTGATACTTGTCTTTCTGGTTCTGATTTATTTTCTTGATATGTCCTCAAGTTCCATCCATTTTGCTGCAAATGGCTGAACAATACATCATTTTGTATATATGAGTTTTATATATGTTGGTAGGCACCTAGGCTGATTATTAGCTGTTGTGAATTGAGCCCAGTAAATATGGGCATGTCTCTTTTATAGGCTGACTTCCTTTCCTTCAAGTATATACCCAGGTATGATAGCTGCATTATGTGGTAAATCTATTTGTAGTTTTTAAAGAATCTACATGTGACTTCCATAGTATTGCACTAATTTAAAATCTCACCAAAAATGTACAAGCATTTTTTTCTTTGTTTTTTTTTTCACACCTTGCTGAAATTAAAAAAAAATTAATTGGAGTGTGCTGGTACCTTGCTATAGTTTTGATTTGGATTTCCCTGATTGCTTATGATATTGAACATTTTTCACATATTTATTGGCCATTCATCTTACTTCTTTTGAGAAGTATCTAGTCAGATCATTTGACCATTTTAATACTTTTGTTTGTATGTTTCAGGACTAGGAATTGAACTCAGGGCCTGTCTCACATGCGAGGCCACCATTATACCACTGAAGTATATCTCTGATTTTTGCTTTTGTTTTCTCTACTTCTGAAATCCTCTTGAAAAAAATTATTATTTGTGCTAACGTGTTGAAGTGTTTCCTTTACGTTTTTCTTAATTAGTTTAAGGTCTTATATTAAGGTTGTTGATCCATTTTTAATTGCAGTTTTTACAGGGTGAGATATATAAGGTCAGGTTTTGATCTTCTGTATGTGGATATCCAGCACCATTTGTTGAAGAGATTGTTTTTTGTCCTGTGGAAAGTTTTTTGTCATCTTTGTTGAGAATCAGTTGGATGTAGTTGTGTGGATTTGTTCTGAGTTCTCTATTCTGTTCCTTCAGTCTATGTGTTCATTTTTATGCCAATACCATGCTGGTTTTATTACTATGGCTCTGTAGTATGTCTTGAAATCAGGTATTATGATGCCTCTTGCTTTGCTCTTTTTGCTCAAGATTCCTTTGACTCTTTGGAGTCTTTTGTGATTCCATATGAATTTTAGGTTTTTTTTTTTTCTAGTTCTGTGTTAGGATTTTTTTCTAGTTCTCTGAAGAATGTCATTGGTGTTTGCATGGGGATTGCACTGAATCTGTAGATTGCTTTTTGTAATATAGCCAATTTAACAATAATTTTCCCAATATATAAACACAGGAGGTTTTTCCACCTTTTAGTGTCTTTCAATTTCTTTCTCCAGTATTTTGTAATATTTACTGTAGTTTTCACTTTCTCAGTTAAGTTTATTTCTG